TAAAACATTTAAACAAAAATGTTAACATTACCAGAAAAAAGAAGCAAGTGAAGAAAGTTTTCCTGAAATCTGATTTTAAAATTTAATGGTAGTTTACTTCTGCAAAATGACCTTATTTTTGTTGTAATAGACTTAGCAATTTATGCCCCAGTATTTGGCAAAAACGGTAGAATAGTTAAGAAACAGCCATTGAAGAATAACAGCTTGATGTGTGACCTAAGTATATGCAGATCAGCTTCAGTTTGGAGGAAGAGCAGATAGACTGGAAGAAAGCCACACTGGACAGAGATGCTGAGTAGTCTTAGACGTCTCATCTAAGAAATAGCATAGAACCTGCTTACCAGATTGGATGACATGATTTACTCTTACAGTTTCAGTACTTTGGAGGTGTAAGAAGGAGTATGATATGTTCCATTGAGCCTGGGCAAATACCAAGGCTGTGCTGCATACATGGGGAAAGCCAGAACATTATGAATCATGTAAAGCCAGCAACGTAATATATACAAGGCTAAGTTGCTAATTTTCACTAGGTACATGTGGAACATTTTCTAGGATCGGACGTACAACAGATTCTCCCCTGCATTTCTAAGGATCAAACCCAGAGTGTTCTAACATGCGATGCAAACATTCTTAACTGAGCTACACCTCAGACCCATAAATTAATACATTTTAAAATGTTGAAGTATTAATAAGTTTTCTTTCTTTTTTTAAAAGATTTATTTATTAATTATGTATACAGTGTTCTATCTGCATGTATGCCACCAGACCAGAAGAGGGCACCAGATCTCATTACAGATGGTTGTGAGCCACCATGTGGTGGCTGGGAATTGAACTCAGGACCTTTGGAAGAGCAGGCAATGCTCTTAACCTCTGAGCCATCTCTCCAGCCCTTGAATATGGTGGAATGAAAATTAGAAACCTGTAAAAGGAAATAAATGAATTCACAAGCATGGAAATTGAAACACTTTTGTTGGAAGATATACGAATAAATCCCAGAAGAAATTATAGACTACCTTGATGAACCAAAATGAAATTTGATGTCTAATTATTAGTATAGATAAAAGTAATCTATGTTTTCAAATACCTACAGTAAAAAGAAAAAATTCCAAACCAGTATCCTAACCACCCCCTTAAGAAACTGAAAAAATATGGACAGACTAATCTGAAAAAAATAGAAAAATAAGATGAGAGCACACATAAATAAAATAGTATAGAAAATGATAGAGAAAAAAATCAAGGGGCCAGAGTGGTAGCTCAGTAGTTAAGAACACTGGCTGCTCTTCCAGAGGACCTTGGTTCAAGTCCTAGGACCCACATAGTGAATCAGAACTGTATTAATTCAAATTCCAGGTGATCCTGTGCTGCCTTCCGGTGTCTGTGAGCACTGCACACATGTACTGCACAGACATACATTCAGGCAAAACACCCATTTGTATAAAATAAAAATACTAAAAAAGAAAAACTCCAGCAAAACTAAAAGCTGTTTCTTTGAAAACATTAACAAGATTGATAAACTGCTGATTTAAAAAGAACAGACTTAATGAAATTGTGTGGGAAGTTCTTGTGTATATGTGTTCCTTTTTTTAATAAATAAATAAACTGTCTTGGGCCTATGCATGGCAGAATAGAGATAGGCGGAGAAAACTAAATTGAATGCTGGGAGAAAAAAGGCAGAGTAAGGGAGACACCATGGAACCGCCAGAGGAAAAAGACATGAGCAACTAGCCAGAACCTTGCCATAAGTCTTATGGTAAAATATAAAATAATAGAAATGGGTTAACCAAGGATGTAAGAGCTAGCTGGCAATATGCCTAAGTGAGTGGCCAGGCAGTTATTTACATAATATAGTTTCTGAATGGTCTGGGCAGCCAGGAACAGACAAGCATCCTCCAACTACAATGAAACATGAATGATAATGGGAGAATTACCTCTAACCTTATGGCAATAAGAGAGATTGCTTGGGAAATGTTATGAATACTTTCTTTGCTAAAAAGTAAATAACTTGATGGGTGAAATTTTTAGAAAAGTTGAAGTAGCAAAAAAAAATTTATTGAAGAAACATATTTGAACCAGGTGGTGGTGGTGCACACCTTCAATCCCAGCACTCAGGAGGCAGAGGCAGGTACTTGGAGCTCTGTGCGTTCAAGACTAGCCCTGACTACAGAGAGAGTTACAGGACAGTTAGGGCTGTTACACAGAGAAACCCTGTCTCAGAATAAAGGATATATTTGAATAGATCTGTATTGTGAGTTGAATTGTGTCCCCCCAAAAGTTGTGATGAAAAAGAATAGTAAGTGATGGTATTTATGAATGGGACTTTATTTGAAAATTAGACCTTTGAATTCTTAATATAGTCTAGTTAAAATGAAGTGATGGTTGTGTGGTCCATGAATCCAGTGACTTGCTGTCTTTATAAGTAAGAATAGAGATTTGAAGGGACAAACAAACATACAGGGGGGAGGGGTCTATAAAGATAGTAGTGGAGATTTGATTACATCATCGTGAGCCTGGGAATGCAAAGGTTGTCAGCAATCGCCAGAAGGTAGAAGCAAGTATGGAAGGACTTTAGAGACTTCAGAAAGGAGAGAACTCTGCAGACACCATGATTTTGGGCAAGTAGCCTCTAGGACTGTGAGAATAAATCTCTACTGTTAGAGCCTCATGTTATGTTAAAGTCGCCCTAGGAAATGAATACAACTTAAAACAAATGAAAAGATTAAATTGGCAATTAAAAGTAAAAAATTAAACACACCTGTTGACAGATGTTTCTTAGGAATATTCCACATTTCCCCCTTTTGTCTAAGGAAGGTTTTAACTTTAATGTAGTAAAATTATATATAACAAAGATAGTCATCAAGTAAGAGTTGCAGTTACAATATCTAGTTCATTTCTATCTGGCAAAATTAGAGAAAATATTCTGTTATATATTTTTTCTTTGTGACTTTAAATTTTATACCAAATTTATTTTATAACTAAAGAAAACCTTAGCTGTGAAAAGTCTTCAGCTTCATCAAAGACCCCAGAAGGGTGAAATATTACCTGGTGACAGAGACATTGGCTGCCTGGACATTCATCCTAAGTTTCCCTGTAATTTGGAGCATCCATCTTTGGCCTACAGGTCTAGAATATCTGACAGACTTAGCTCTGAAGCAGGACATTTTGAAGGACTGTCTTACCTTGTCTTGACAAAGTTTGTTAGTTGCTTTCTTTTGCATCCTCCTGGTTCAGTTAGGCTGGTATACTGTCAGCAATTGAGGCAAGGGCAGTTCTTTGCCCAGTGGCTAGCTTTTGCCATAAAGATAGCAAATTCCTTAATGTCGTCTCTTTTCTGAAGTAGATTGATGCTGTCAGGAGCAGATGTGTCTTCCATCGCATAAAAAGCTTTAGGTCACTAAACATAATATCATATTCTGTAGGTCTTTGAAGTATTTGAAGATCATCTATTTATATCTGTGTATGACCTTGAAAACATACCTAATGTGACTATAAGTTTGACTATTATTGATGACTTTAATCTGTATTTCTTAATTATGCATTATATTTTTATTGAGCTGCATAAACAGTATCCCAAACAGGAGTAGAAATATACATATACTATAACAAAATTAACTTCAGATTTCTATCAATATACACTGTGAAGTATTTAAGACTAGTAGTTACTCTTTTAGTTTAAAAGTAAATTTAATAATCTAACTTTTTATCTGTTATTTCTATATCCCCCCCTTTTTTTTTCCAGAAAGGAAACACTGAATCTAATCTCCTTCATTCAGCTTTTTTTTTTTCCTGATGGTTGCCAATAACAACTTGTAGCCAATCCCCCACTTAAATGATAATAAGCATCCATAACCCATCTTTTGGGGATGTGGGCATAGTTCTCCTGCCTACTTGTTGTTTGGGGGCTTTGGTAATTTTGAGGGGAAACTTGAGAAAATCAGGATAATTGTTAGGTCTTGGCTGTAGTATTCTGTAAGTTTGGATCATCTCAGTTAGCAGCCTTGAAGCTGTTCTGGATGCTGGATCACCTCAGCAAGCAGCAGGATAGAGGTTGTGTGTAAATGGGATACAAATACTCACATTGTGATGGTAACAATTTATAGTTATGAATAAAATCCATTGGGTTTTACATTACATGGGTGAGTTGTATCATTGAATTATATCTTAATGAAATGAAAGAGTTTAAATGTGAAACAAATAGGTATGATGATGATTATAATAGGAAAATCCTAGGAAGTGGTTTCAGACATTAGTGGGTGTATTTTAAACGTGTAAGGAGTTTGTGGGTTATAATGTGCTTTCAATTCTTAAACACATTTTATTGTGCCAAGTATGACCTACTTTCTTTAGAAAGCTTCTTTAAGTAGTCTGTGGTGAAAATTTGTAAATACATGAGTTTAAACGCTGCTGTGATGTGGAAGGCATGTGAACACAGTACTTAATGGATGCTTAGAAGATATACTGTGCATTTCTCTGTCTTGTTTTCTGTGGTCTCTGTCATTGTTCTGGCCTCCTGTTTACTTGTAAGAGGCAAGGCTGGAAGTAAATGCAGAGCACTATCAGCTTACCATAGCGCTGCAGCAGCCTTGAAGTAATGTTGGCAGTCTCTGGAGTGAGCTGATTGTAACATTTTGGAAACTTTTAATTCCTATTTTATTGTGTGTATGTAATATGTGTTCAAGCACATATATTACTATAACTAAAATACTTAAGTGTACTTGTAACAGGCGGTGTGTGATTTTAGTTCTCTATCATAGTGCTAGTTTTGACTTATTTATCAATTAATTGAACAGTACAGTAAGATCTGAGGACTACTATTACAATACTGTTATTTAGGAACAGAATTTAAGTTCTAAGTATTTAAACAGATTGAAAGTTTCTAAATATTTTAATTGTATTATGCTAGTTTGTCTTAATGGCTAGTACACTTGTTTTTATGCATCTGTGCTTTGGATTTTTAAATGGGGAGAGATTTTGTACAAACATTTCACGCGATATTTTTGCAGGGATACTTAGTCGGTCTGGATGAACCAGCTTCCGGAGCTGGACAAGAAGCTTTGCTTAAACAAGAGCACGCAAAAGTCACTCGACTCCAGAGACAAACAGAAGAGTTCCTCAATGCAGTCTTTTATAGAAAAGGTTGGTTTTGGTGGCAAACAACATAGCCTGCTTGTCTTATATTAATTTCCGTAATTTCAGTGTCATTTTAAGTTATTCCTAAAATATTTCTCTGTTCCTTTATCACATTAAATTTGGAATAAGGTTAAGACGCCTATTGCCCTCTTTAATACTGGAGTAGGGGTTTAGTTAAGTAGTTTAGAAATTTATTATGACTGCAATTTGTTAGACAAGCTTTAAAATATAAAATGCTACTGTTGGGCTGGAGAGATGGCTCAGCCGTTAAAGGCTAGGCTCACAACCATAAATAAAATGCTACTGTTTAAATCCTTAACACTTATAAAAACCAGTTCTGTAAATTGAAAATCTGACCTGAAATTTTATTTGAAGTGAAAATGTAGTTGACTCATATATTTGTAAGCATTTTTTTTCTTTCGAGACTGGGTTTCTATGTGTAGCTTTAGATTCCATCCTGGAACTTGCTCTGTAGACCAGGCTGGCCTAGTAAACATACCTTGAGATTAAAAAAAAAAAAAAATGGGAGTTGGTATGGTGACATTATTTTGCCGTGTCATATGTAGAGGCATATGTCAGTCTTGAGGCTTAGGGATTCGTAGAGACAGTAATTCTTCTATTTCTTTAAAAAAAAAAAAACTTTACAAAAAATCTATTCATTTTATTTTACATATGAATGTTTTCCCTGATTGTATGTATGCACACTGCATGTATGCTTGGTGCTCTTGAAGGTTAGATACCCTGGTATTGGGATTATATATAGATGATTGTGAGCTACCATGTGGGTGCTGGAAATCAAATCCCAGTCCCCTACAAAAACAAATACTCTTAACCACTGAGCCATTTCTCCAACCCTTTTCTTTGTCTTTCTTTTTATGTTGTTGTCAGTTTCATCCATTTTGCCCCCCTCCCCACTTATCCCCACCCTGCTCCCATGCCCCACCCCTATCCCCTCACCACACTTCCTGCAGGGTCTGACTATGTAACTGGTTGTTCTGGATCCCACTCTGTAGACCAAGTTATACCCTGGAACTCACAGAATCTGCCTGCGTCTGCCTCCCAAATGCTGGAATTAAAGGCTTGTATTACTACTCCCAGCTTTAATTCTTTTCTTAATCTGTATAATCTCTTTATGATCTTGTTTGAATTAGTGAAGAGTCTCTATTTTCTGTCTGTCCCTTCCTTTCCTTTCTCCTCTCCTCTCTCCTCTTCCCTCCTCCTCCCCTCCTTTCCATAGTTGTGTGCCACTATGCCCAGTAGAGTTTTCACCTTCAATAAATTCTTTCTGAATTAATTTCTGTTCCTTAATTACACATTCCTCTTCTGCTAAGGTAGAGATGATTATGATAGTTTCTAAAAATGTTTCCTCGACGTAGGTAGGCATACGTCGTAGTGTGCACGTGTAATCCAGGCAGTTGGGAAGTTGGGTGAGGAGAAAGGAGTTCTTGGTGTTGCTGATTATCTTGGCTACATTTAACCCCCAGCAGACCCAGAGCGCCCATCTCCTTTAGTGCACTCACTCACCTGTCCAGTGCTACTTAGACAACTCATTCCTCCAGAGATGCCTGCCAGCCTTCTCAAGGTTGACAGTGTACTAGAGGAGTGAAATAGGGTTCTAATATTGGTTACTGTTGGATGGATACCAGCTGTCCTGCTTAGTATGGTCAGTGTTTTCAGAACCTTATTTAAGTGAGATGTCCTGTAAACTCAGGGTATTCCTTAACTAAGTTATTGTTTGGGGAAAAATACATGGTTTTGTATTTTCATTGCTCTGTCAGACTCACTTTATCAAATTAAGTACCCCACTTTCAAAATTACTTTTTTTTTCAAAAAGTAGTTTTATTAATTTTACTAATATTTTATTGTTTCAGTAACAGAATTCATATTGCCAAGTATGATATCACTCCTTTAATCTTCAATCCCGTATAGTTCCAGGACAGTCAGGGCTACATAGTGAGACTGTCTCAAGAAAGGATGGGGAGATTGACATTTAAGGTATAACCTAGAAACAGCTTATTATCCAAATATGTTTACAGTCGTTCCACCAGAGTGTAAACAGACAATGTCCTTGGTCTGTGTGCTGTTTTAGCAACCTTTTAAACTCAAGATGGGAAGCCTTCTACTTACTTCTTGGTTAGGGGGTACTGACAGCAGATTCCTTCAGTGACGTTCTACCGTACTTAGTTCCGTGTCTTTGTCCTCAAAGAATAACTTCGGGTGAAATTCTTATAAGCTTTTGGTTCATAATGTTTACAGCAGGAATTCTTACCTTAGAATTGGTTTTAGGATTTCAAAAGTTCGAATTTTTAAGAAACAAGAAACAAGTTATTTGTATATTTGTTGCACACTGTTGTGAGGTGCTTAGAAAAAGGAACTTGCTTTGGATTGGAAGTTCTTTCTCTTTGTATTATATGTTAATATTGTTAATTTATAAGTATTTTATTAATCTTCATGAAAATATCTCAGAGATGGACATTTGCATGCAGTAATGCCAAAAATGGGCAATTATCCATGGAGATGACAATGAGTTTTTCTGAAGAGAATAATTTGTATAACTCAAGATTGGCTTTCTCTTATCCTAAATGCTGAAGAATGTGAAGATGTTTTTAAGTTTCACGTTTTGGAATCTTTGAGTGGACTTCATCAATTTAGAGCTCTAATCGGAAAATCTAAAATTCAAACATTTTTGAGTGTTATATCAACACTTGAATGATTGGAATTTCAGAGCATTTTGCAGTTTAGATTTTCATGTTTGTTGTGTTTAGCCTTTAATTGTGGTGCTTGGTTTTAGTTTGTCCAAGGATTGTAAATTGTGTGTTTTAAATAATTACTTAGGAGTTTTTGTAAAGCTAAGTAGGGCTGTACATGCAGTATCCATGTAGTAGTCTTTGTAATTGGGCCTGTGCAGCAAATCCTAAGAACAGGCCTGTACCTCTCACAGTTGTCACAATCACGTTCTTTGTCAGCCATTCTACTCCCTGTGTTAGACGTTTTGATAATTTTGCCAGCTATGGTAACCTTTAATCCCAGCATTTGGGAGGCAAAGGCAAATGGGTCTTTGTGAGTTCAAGTCCAGACTTGTCTACAAAGTGAGCTCTAGGGGAGAGAGGGAGGGAGGGGGAGAGAGAGATATCTCAAAGATTCATTTAATAATTTTTTAAAATAGTGTTTCCTTTTTGAAATATACCACTGACTGTGCTGTAACAGAGCATTTGTGTGTGTGGTTGCTTGTTTATTTCAGAGACAGGGTCTCAGTGTAGCTCTTACTTTGCTGAAGTTCACTGTGTAGATCAGCCTAGCCTCCAGTTTGCCTCTGCCTCCAGAGTGCTGGGCTAAAACGTGTGCCACTACGTCCAGCTGTGCTGTGGTGTAACAGTTATATGTTTCTCTGTAGGTTCTCTCCTCCTGCATCTGATCATAGTTGCTTTTACTTGACTCCATTGTGAGTGTTTCACTAGGTATGACCATAATTACAGAATGTTCTAAGTAAATCAAAGAATGAATACATTCAGGAAACTCAGACTCTAGAGAACTTTAAATGGCAGCAATGCCAGTCATACACATTGAATATTTTATCTCATGACTGTGGTGTTTATTCAATAAAGGGACAAGGTATAATACTGACATTTACACATCCAAGGTGGAACTTAATAATTCTTACCATGAAATCTTACTGACCACAAAGCTTTAATAGTTATTAATTAACACAGAAATCCCATATATTGCTGCATTTTGCCATCTCTTTATTATATATTCTCTTGCTTTCCATGAGGCAAAAGCATACATACCTCATATATTCCACTAATACACTGGAAGTTTTATGTAGTCTTCCATATAGAGATTATATTTTATGTAGGGGAAATAGGTCTTAACTGTAAAGTCAATAACTAGTAATAAGAAAATTCAGGCCAAGTGGTGGTGATGCACACTTTAAATCCCAGCACTTGGGAAGCAGAGTCGAGAGGATATATTGAGTTCAAGGCCAGCCTGGTCTACAGAGTGAGTTCCATGATAGCAAGGGATACACAGAGAAACCCTGCCTCAAACCCCCTCCCCACCAAAAAATAAATAATAAATAAGAAGGAAAATTCAGAAGCCAAGTGTGATTCATGTGCATTTAATCCTGGATGGTAGAAGTAGTCAAATCACTAAGTTCCAGACCAGCTTGGTCTACATAGTGAGTTACAGGCCAACCAAGCCTGAATAGTGAAACTCAAGAGCACTTGCTGCTCTTGACAGAGGACGTGGGTTCAGTTCTTAGCATATACATAGCCACTCAAAACCAGTTCCAGGAGATGCCTTCTCTGACCTGTACGGACTTCAGACATAGATAGTAATTTATGTTTAATTTGTGTTAATTTATATTAATGTGCATTTAACACATACACATATGCAGGTACTCACACATACACATTAAATGAATTTCAGAAGGGCTAGACTCAATGAATAAAGGTGCCTTTGCTGTCAGATCTGACAGTCCAGATTGAATCCCCAAGACTCCCATGAATTCCATGATAAGGGAGAGACTAGACTTGTGCAAATTGCCCTTTGACTTCCATATGCACCATGACACTAGTGCCCTACACCCCCTGCACACAAAAATTGAGTGGATAAAAATACCTTTCTTTAAATATTTTTATTTCATGTGCATTGGTGTTTTACCTGTGTATATATCTATGTGAGGGTATTGGATTCCATGGACTTGGAGTTACAGACAGTTATGAGCTGCTTTGTGGGTGCTGGGAATTGAACCCTTGTCTTCTGGAAGAGCAGTAAGTGCTATTACACCACTGAGACACCTCTCTAGCCCGGATAAAAATACTTTTAGAGGTACTGTATGGCACATATTTTATTAAAACATGACAAAACATTGCAATTAGTTGTAAAAACAGTTTTATTAAATATCTTTGATAAACTGATTGCAACATTGAGTGTATTTATAGAGAAACTGTGGGGTTAAATATGGTTTAGGTGAGTAAAAACATATAGAGCAAGTCTATAGATAAAAATGTCACTTCATGAGCATCTTCTGATACCAAGTATTGTTCTTTGGCATCTATTGGGAGCCTTGTTGGGTTTTGATTATTTATTATTATTGTGGAGGTTTTATATTTTAGTAGTAACTAAAAATCAGATTTTCTTCAACTTTATGAATCAACTTCTAGAGTCCCTCACATTTCCAAATTATTATGAACACTTACTTGCTTTTTCTAGCTAAATCTTAACAAATAAGGTAGCTAAAGCTTGTAGTTATAGCTAGTTTTATTAGTAACGTCCTATACAAATTTATGTCACATTTCTCTTGTATTAAAGGTATTATTTGGTAATTGATTTGTTGTATTTATTACCCAAATAAATTGATCAGACACTTTACACCAGGCAAGATTAGGGATACAGAAATCATCAGATAGTCTCTAGGTGATTATAGAAGTATGAGGATAATAGGTTTACCCGGATTGTTTCCCCTTTCATCTTAACCCCATTTGAACTTGAAGTTCCTTTCCAGTCTGTGAATTCCTGTGTTTTTTGTTTTGAATTAACATTATCTAAACGTTGACTCCTTAGATGTTCATTTTATTACTTTTCTAGCTATTGTTTGAATGTTAGCAGGTTATACTTAAAGAACTTGTGAAAAATGTTATCTTTAGCTTTTGAAGTGTGACATTTAAACTCCTACCTCGGAGTTCTAAATCTGTGACTCTCAAACCAGCAGCAGCTGTCAGCTTGTTGGGAATGTCACTTCTTGAGGCCTCAAACTGCTGAATCAGAAATTCTGGGGACAGCACCCAGCAATCTGTCTTTATATGGATCTTGAAATTAAATCCTGGATCCCAAAGTTAAATATCTTTTATAGTCTTGTTATTCTTTTAGTCATTTACAAGGACTAAATTAAGCACTCATAGATTCAGAAACTTAAAGAATATGAGGAGTTAGTTTAGGGAAAACTTGACATTATCTGTAGATGTTGACAGTAAATGTTTCCTAAGAGAAGGCTTAGGTATTTCCATACCAGGTAAGTGATTCTTACCAGTAGATACCATTTGCTATCCCTCTATTTAATTTCATAAGCTTTATAAACACTTAAGAAATTTTATTTTCAATAATCTGCGATCTAAATATTTACCAATTAAGAATATAAACAAATGGTTAATACAGTTGTTAGGATACTAGATTAAAAAAACTAAAGTGAAGTTTCATGTTTTCTTGAAAGCTTTTTTTTTTCCTTAGTTCATGTCCCACTTTAAAAGTAAATAAATCTTTGTTTACAGACAGTCCCTGGGTCTCCGACCCCAATATTCCCCTAGTGGCCCGTGAGATCATGCAGCGAATGATCCAACAATTTGCTGCTGAATATACCTCAAAAAATAGCTCTACTCAGGACCCCGGCCAGCCCAATAGCACAAAGAACCAAAGCCTGCCGAAAGCATCTCCAGTCACCACCTCTCCCACCGCTGCAACTACTCAGAACCCCGTGCTCAGCAAGCTTCTCATGGCTGACCAAGACTCACCTCTGGACCTTACTGTCAGAAAGTCTCAGTCAGAACCTAGCGAACAAGGTATGGTTTGATGTTGTGGTCTCTTCTGTCTAATCAGAAGACTTTGATTTGGGGAGAAAGAAAATTACAAATAGAAAGCCAACCACAAGAATAGGACAGAAAACAATGTGATTCTAGCTGGTCATGGGTATATGACCCTGTGCATTCCAGCTGCATGGACTGAGGCAAGTGCATCATCTGGGCAGCATAGTGAGACTTTGTCTCTTAAAAATAAAAATAATGTTTTAATTAAATTGTCCTGAGTATTCAGTGGTAGAGAGGTGAACAGATAGCATTGTTGCAGTCTCAACCCATTAGCAGATGGTGGTTGTGATGGGTACACTACACAGGAAAGTCAGGCATTTTTTTTTTTTTTTGATTTTTCGAGACAGGGTTTCTCCGTAGCTTTTGGTTCCTGTCCTGGAACTAGCTCTTGTAGACCAGGCTGGCCTCGAACTCACAGAGCTCCACCTGCCTCTGCCTCCTGAGTGCTGGGATTAAAGGCGTGCGCCACCACCGCCTGGTTTATTTTTAAACTTTAACATGAGCGTTTTCACTTTCTAAAATAACATCAGATTCTGAAAATTGTAAAAAGGCAAAGTTTTCTATTTATCCTCAGTGCTCTTCTATCTGAGAAACACCCTTTGCTTGGAAGTTACACTCTACAAAGAGATAAGTAAAAATATGTATTGTAATTTCAAAAGAGTATCAGGCCAGGTGTGCTAATGTACACCTTTAATCCCAGCACTTGGGAGGCACAGGATCCTCTGTGAGTTTGAAGCTAGCCTAGTGTACCAGACCATCAATGACTGCATAATAAAACCTATGTTTAAAAATAAAAATAAATAGTATTATGAATAAAAGACAATAGAATGTACTTTAGATTGTTATGTGTAATGTGTATGTATATATATATGTATATATGTATATGTACTAAATTAAGGAAATAAGTTGAAGATATTTCCAAAATAAGTATTATTGAGGATCCAAATCAGTGAAAACATTAAGAGGTCATCAGTTTTGTTCAGATGTTTCTTGTGTCTCTGAAATATATTTTAAATAGACTGAAAATTCCTGCTTCTTTTTATTCTCACAATGTGCTGTCAACAGTTTTGCAACTGAGGCACTGTTTAAATTTCTAAAATAATTATAATTGATGATGTCTTAGGAAAAAGATTTTATTGTCTTCAAAACATAAGAATAGAAGAAAAGAAAGGTATGTTATGTGTGGATTTATTGGAAAAAAATATCTTGATTTTAGAAAGAATTTTTTAAAATAATATTTTCTTATTTTAAGTAATTTATGAAGATGTCTCCTTTAATGGACTGGTGTTAGTTACTTATTGAGGTATGTATTGGAGTAGGCTTTCTTTTGTTCTCCTTTTTCTCCCTGTTTGAGTATGATATACAGTAAGCAGAATACCTTGTTTGGAGATTGGCCTGTACAGGAACCCTTCTAGCCCTCTGTTCACACTGACCAGTGCACCTTTGCTTACTGAATTTACAAAGTTGTGTTTTGTTTGTTTTTTCCAAGACCAGGTTTCTCTGTATTGTCCCGGCTGTTCTGGAACTCATTCTATAGACCAGGCTGGTCTTGAACTCTCAGAGATCCGCCTGCCTGCCTCTGCTTCCCTGGCATGTTCCTGTTTTATTGAGGATTGTTGTTTTTACTACAAAATGACATTTTCAGTAAAAGTCTCTTGACTCTAGATACTGCATCAAAAGCTTCAGATTTAGAAAAGAGTGGCAACGTAGAGATGTTAGTAGTGGAGGGAGGCTAACTTACAGCAAGTGTCTTGGGTTAGAAATACTCTAAGCACTGCATTTTGTTTGTAGATCTCTGGATGGGTATTAGATATTAAATGAGATCCTACTTTGTTCTTTACCATAATAGTTATGCTTGTAGATTCTTTAGTGAATTCTAAGAACAAAACTTCTTAGGAGGTTGGGCTCTTTTAATTTTAGAGGGTTGGTTGCATATTTCTAACAACTTGAAACTGCGATTCAAGTTTTAATGAAACTGTGCTTCAAGTTTTAAGTTGATCCTATCCAGAATTTATTGTTGACATAGATATAAAGACCTTCCTGCTAGCCAGCTAGAAATCAAAATCAGAAGCTCTGACTTGTTCTTAACCCTGGATGGAATGACAGCTTTGGAAGTAGTCAAATTATGTCTATAAAGGGAAAATTAACTTTGAGGAAAAGAAAGGCTTTAATTTTATGTATTAATACACAAATCTGTGATTCATCTCGTTTTTAGGTTACATTTCCAAGCTGTTATACTAAGATGTTTCCTTTCTTTTTTTTTTTTTACTAAATTTGAACACCATTTTAAAATACTTTAATTTTGTAAAAAAGCTCTTAAACAAGATTTAATGAATGAAATTTGAATTTGCAGGTTCTTATAAGATTTAACTCAAATACACATTTTTTGTACCAAAAGAATAGTTAACTGGGAAGTAATGGTACTTAATCCCAATATTTTAATGTAAGTAATGGTACTTTAATCTCAAGACTTGGGAGGCAGAGACAGGTGGACCTCTTTGAATTCAGGGCCAGCCTGGTCTACAAAGTGAGTTCAAGGACAGCCAGGGTTACACAGAGAAACCCTGTCTCAAAAAAAAAAAAAAACAAAATAAACAATAAAAAAGAATAGTTAAAATACGTATAAATTATAAGACATTAAGTGATTCGTTTCTTCAGAGTGTCTTGTATATACGTAAAATATAATCAAATCATTTACAGATAATTCTCTGATTATAAATTTTTCACATTTAAGTTCAAGTGATTTTGGAGTTTAAAGTATCAATCTTGAGGAATTTGGGAATGTAGATTTGTAAAAATAAATTAATATATTTGAATAAAAGTTTAGAAAATGAAGTGTAACAATTCTAGTGCAGAACCTGTGCTTTGTTTTCAATATCTTATTATATCTTAGCATCTTCTATAATGTTTTAACTTTCTTTTGCCCTATTAACAAGATAATTAGCCCTGAGAAATACATGTTTATTACGCCTATAACAGTATACCAGGTTTGCTAGATTTGGTTCCTTCTGAAGAACCTTGGTGACCTTGATTTTTGTTTTTGAATGTAATACCTCAGTATGCCAAATGTTACCTTGACTTTTTTCTAATTTTTATTAATATCTGGTTCACATTTGCTTCAGTTCTTAATGTCCTCAGGTATTTTTTTGTGTCTCTATAGACGGTGTACTTGATTTATCTACTAAGAAAAGTCCATGTGCTAGCAGCACTTCCCTGAGCCATTCTTCAGGCTGCTCCAGTACTCAAGGGAACGGGTAAGGAAAAACCTTTATAGTCTTCCTGTTATATAGATAATTCATCAAAGGCGATTCAACCAGTTTCCTTGAGCATTATAAAAACTTAACCCTTCAGCGTGAGCCATTCATAAAATGACTCAGTCTATCAATGAAGGAAAATGTATCCTTGGACCTTTTGTCAGTGCTTTATAGAGTGTGGAACCTGTGCTAAGTAATTGTAAAGTATAGAAGTGAAGAGGGTGTTAATATGTGTTCAAGTTATTGAATGAAAATTGGGCTCCTGTGTTTCATTTGGTATCCCTAGTGAGGTGTGTGTTAATGTGTGTTCATTTTTGTTTGTTTTGGTTTGGTTTTTGGTTTTATTGGCTGTTGATTTGAACTGCAGTTTTAATTCCATGGCAGTTCAGAAAATGTAATTGTATGTGATTTTGTTTTAATAGAGTGCTGTAGGTAGATGAGTAACCATCTAATGTTGCCAAATATTATTATATACTCAGTTTGATAACTCTTAACCCCTCAGTGATTGTGACCACTTTCATTTTATACTGTAAGAATACATAATTTTCATGATGTATATCTAGTAACCATTTTGATAAAGCAGATAATAAATATTTAGACATCATTAGAAAATTATAACATGTAGATATGAAAAATTATGTGGTAAGTTTAAATAGTGTTTGCCTTAAATTTTTTAATACTGTTGATATGGGGAGGTTTTTTAGATACTAGAGGAATAACTAGACACTAAATGGACTTTTCCACCCTACTCATACTTTGAAACTGAAGAATTCTTCTACTGACTTCTAAAAATTCCCCTTATTTTCTCCTAAATTCCATTTGTCTTCCTCCCCTCCCACTCTATTCAGTCTAAAAACATTAATCTGTTTTCTTATGTTTTAATATAAGCTCTTCTCAGAATTTCCTTGCATGTATACTAAATATAATCCAGCATAATTCCAAATTATTTGGGTTCCTTTTCAATACCAAAAATACTTGAGTTGTGTAAGAGCGTACGTAGTAGAAGCCCAAGTACAGTTTCCATAAACAAATCCCTGTTTAAGATTCACCTTAAACCTGGCTGCCAGATTTGTGTTCTGTATTGTTTAAGCTGCTGTGTTTATTTCTCTTGAGTGAGAAATGTTTTGTTTCATGGAAGATTAATTCATCAGTAGTACTGCCCATCTTTCAGTTGAGCATTCAGTGTTACTGTGTTAATAGTGGCAATGGTCTCTGTAAAATCCAGGGGAATATAGTTTACCATTTATTTCTGTAAAATACCACTTTTGGGTTGCACTGATATAATCATTCCTCTTAGGGATGTTTTGCCAGCTATCATCAGTCTTAAGATCAGTATCCTTTCTCTGTTATGAAAATTAACATAATTTATGTAACTGATGGCTCAGTTACTGAAGAGCCTTCCACAGGCATGAAGACCTCAGTTTGGGTCTCTATCACTCATAGGTGGAGGGCTACCAACCCTGGGAGTGGGATGGGGACAGAAGGATGCCTGGAGGTCATTGGTCAGCCTGCCTGCTGAATCAGTGAGCTCCAGGTTGAGTGAGAAAAAAGTCTCCTCTCCTGAAAAAGAAGGGAGAATGACCAAAGAAGGAAGACACGTACAATATCCTAAAACAACAACAAAATCTTACAAGCTAACTTTATAAGTAATTGACTTTAAAATATTATTTCAGCATAAACATGGCATTTTAAGGAAAAAGATTTTTCTTAAAGATTGCTACCAAGTTATTTATACATCTGGTTATATTGGCTTTGAGTGTCACTTAACAAAATTTGGGGTAAAATACAAAGTTACTTTGCGGAAGTGTGGTACTTATGTCAGCCTACAGTTACTAGGGTTGTAATGAAGAAGTGTGGTAAGTTATCAACTTCACTTGACTTCCTCCCTCACCTTGGGACTGCTTGCCATGTATAGGTTTTTTTCCAAACAGTACAAGAAATGTCATTTGGAATTGTTTAATTTTTAATGATAAACGTTAACTTGTTTGTAGCATAATGAGCAATTATCTCTGGGTTCCACCAGTGTGAATGCTAGCTAGTTGTTATGAATGTTGAATGCATTAGATTATAATAAATAATTTGGCTTACTCTTTTATTACTGTGCTTGTTTAGTGGTAACGTCACGTTGGTATACAATTCTGTATAGATGATGAAGACACTAATGATTCTTTGTAATTAATGGTTAAGGTGCTATTTTCAAACAGTTGCGCGAAACTTTTTCTCCGAAAATTTGTGAACCCAACCAGAGACTGCCAACAGGTTTAATTTTTCTTTGCCCAAAAAAATTCCTGTTTTTTTTCTTTTTTTCCCTTTTTGTGATCAAGTTTTTAAACTAACTGCTGAGACAATGTGTTGTTGTTTTTTTTAATTTTAGAGAAAAATAAATAAATAACACAAAGTGATGTTACCCAAGCAAGGCCTTCTAATAAAGGAGTGGTCCCCTCACCCGCCCCTCCCTTCCTGTGCAAGTCCTGCTCACATCAGTTTCCTTCCATCCAATTAGGCGACCTGGGAGACCCAGCCAGTACCGCCCAGATGGACTTCGGAGTGGTGATGGGGTACCTCCAAGAAGCTTACAGGATGGAACCAGGGAAGGTTTTGGACACTCCACATCACTCAAAGTTCCACTGGCTCGATCCCTGCAGATTAGTGAAGAGCTACTGAGCAGAAACCAATTGTCCACAGCTGCCAGCCTTGGGCCGTCTGGATTACAGAATCATGGACAGCACTTAATATTATCCAGGGAAGCCTCTTGGGCAAAACCTCATTATGAATTTAACCTCAACCGCATGAAGTTCAGGGGAAATGGTGCACTCAGCAACATCAGTGACCTTCCTTTTCTTGCAGAGAACTCTGCCTTTCCAAAAATGGCACATCAAACAAAACAAGATGGAAAAAGGGACATGAGCCATTCATCTCCTGTAGATTTAAAGATACCACAAGTTCGAGGAATGGATCTTTCTTGGGAGTCTCGCACTGGTGATCAATACAGCTATAGCTCTTTGGTAATGGGTTCACAAACGGAGAGCGCGCTTAGTAAAAAATTAAGGGCTATTCTTCCAAAACAAAATAGAAAAAGCATATTAGATGCTGGACCTGATTCTTGGGGCTCAGATGCTGAGCAGTCTACCTCTGGACAGCCATATCCCACGTCGGATCAAGAAGGAGACCCTGGCTCCAAGCAGCCTCGGAAGAAAAGAGGGCGTTACAGACAGTACAACAGTGAGATACTGGAGGAAGCAATCTCGGTGGTTATGAGTGGAAAAATGAGTGTTTCCAAAGCTCAGAGTATTTATGGGATTCCCCACAGTACACTGGAGTACAAAGTAAAGGAGAGGCTGGGCACTTTGAAAAACCCTCCAAAGAAAAAGATGAAATTAATGAGGTCGGAGGGGCCAGATGTTTCTGTAAAGATTGAATTAGATCCCCAGGGAGAGGCAGCACAAAGTGCAAATGAATCAAAAACTGAGTAGGAATACTGTAGAGTGCCAATTACTGTACAAACTGGGTGAGCACTACTGCATCATTGTTCAGCTGTCACTGCTGCACCTGGCTTCATTACTGTGACACGCTTCTTTGCAGGTTTTGCATTGACTTGTGCACAGAGGTGAAAGGTGCATTCTGAATGTTGCATATTTTAAATTTCCATGTGCAGTATGGCTCGGAATATTGTTTGGCCTTTTGCATGTTTCTCTACACAGAGAATTGAGTTACCTCACAGAGACCAGATACATGGAAGTGGACTCCTTGCCTGTAGAGCCTGCATGTTTTTCCTTATTTTCTTTTTTTCCCCTTAAGTTATGTTTGCCTTTACTTTTAAAAAAAAGAAAAGAAGAAGGAAAAGAAGAAAAAAAAGCACCCTTTTAGAAAATTACCTCTGTTATACTGGGAGCTTTGTCATTACAAATTGGAAAGCCATCTTACAAAAATATTCACATTTTTCTTTGATTCAACTAATTGAAGGTTTAAGCTAAAACAAATGATGAACCTTTGACATTAAGAAATTTGGTTTCTCGATAAATACTTGGGTTATTTATAATTATACTTTATTATTTCCTTATCATTATTAAATTTACTTACTAAATTAGCAATGTCTTAGTGCTCACCCAGAGGGGAGGCGGTGGAGATGTGCACACACTACCTTCAAAAATGTTTCAGTTCATTGCTTGGAACACTACCTTTGCTGTAATTTCATTTGAGATTTCCTAAGGGTAGAATTTGCTCTCACCAACAAGTGAGATTATAGCCTTATCTCATGGAGGACGCGCTCCCTTCTTACTCAGGAGCAGTCAGGGTACATTTCATAAACAATGGAGGATGCCTCGTTTTTGCAAACTTAGGTTTCTTTATATTTTTCAGTGGTTTTATAGAAGTGGTCATGTATTAACCAACAACTGAGTATTGTTGCGGCCAGTAGTTTTAAGATATCCAAGCTGTGTTTATTGGAAATCTGAGAATAGACAAAGCAATGTGTATCAGTAATTTTGGCGAAGCTAATATGATGCTTAGAATTTTTAGCCTTGATAATTTCTACATAGATGAAGGATCTAAGTTTTTGGTAAGAAGAAAAATCACAATTCCAAGGTGACCTAATAGGATTAGGTTGCATGTTAATTCTGTTATTAACTCAATTGGTAGTTTAGCTTCCTGGAGTTTCTGTTCTTTAACTAATTCAGATACTGCTACAAGATTGGGAGAGGTTGGATTTTAGATTTTAGTTAACTTTGTTTAACTGAATTTCTTTTTCCCCTTGTTTTTATGGCATCCTACATAATATCCCCTTCTTGACTTTTTCTGGTTGTTTAGCACACATTTCAGGCCCTTTCTGATCATTTTTGTGTAAGCACTCCTTAAAGAACGTCTTAAGCTTTGTTTGAGATGGGCACATGAAATTGCAGTAAGTTAAATTTGGAAGATTTATTTTCAACAGATAATTGCAAGAATACCTGATAAGTAAATTCAGTGGAATTTAATCTCTTACTATGATTAGGCTAAAATTAGTATTTTGTGCAAAGTAAAATCCACACTACTTATACCCTATATCCTAATCTGCTGAGAAAGGTGATCAGGCCCTTCTAAATGCTTAGCCAAACCCCCAAATTATTGCCATTTCTGAGTAAAATAAAATAAGCATACAATGATTAGGTTAAGATTGGTTATTTCAGGAGAACACTAACAACTTGAGAAGTAGTAAGAATAAGTCCAGATAGTCACCAGGCACAAATTCCTACTTGAGAACTTTGGACCCATTAATTCAGTTAGATAACAGATTTCACTTGCAACCTGTGTGTTCAAAGGTTAGGCACACCATTGCTGCTGTTAAAATTAAGACACTACTCATTTTTTGACATAGGTTGGGTGTGGATTCCTCTTTTGATTTGGTTTATTTTGTAAAGCAATGTTATCAGTGGATGACACCTGCTTCTTGGCTTTTTAGTCTCAACAGACAAAGAGTTTGGTAGTATTAATGTGACTGCAAGATTTCCTGGCCTAGCTGGAAGTTGCAATAAAAATACAATATGAGATGCATGATTTTCATCTGCAGTTGAAGTTGTGTGAGGTTTGCTGAAAGCAAAAGGCTAAGCTTAAGAAGGAAAACCTCCTTTGTTCCCTCTCAGCACACAATTAATTGTAGCCATGGTTCCCTTTTGCACAATGTTTGGGCTACTCAGTATCCCAGAATTGTTGCAAAAAGATCCTTTGAGAAATTACTTTGTGCTTTTATTCCCTCTCAGAAAGACATCATTAAAGGCCCATCTAAAAATCTGGCCCTAAAAGTTGAACTTTTGTACTTTTACTCTTCAGAGAGAGGTTTAATCCTTGTGGTAGTTTGTAGTGATGTATGAGTTGAGTTATGTAACCTTTGTCATTGTAGTGTAATGAGAGTGATCATTTTACTAACATAAATATTTTCTATGTGTGTTTCAGTGGATGACAATCGAGCAGCAGAAGAATGGTGTGCCTACTCTTTAATGCTGCAGTTTAAATAAGAGAACTTGTATTGTGTCATTTCAGACTGTAGGCTGAGAGTTGTAAATAGTGGAAATTGAGTACTTCTATTATTTGTTTTGGTTAGAAAGTGAATTTTAAAAACAAACCAAACTCTAAACTTCTCAGATTAAAGTCCTGAGACCTGAAGATTGTAATATTCATGTCTGTGAAGCTTTTAACATTACACTTGATCAGTCATGACTTGATATTCAGGTAAATTTTCTTTTCCAAGAAGCTTTTGAGTAAGCTTATTTTCCTCCAAAGGTTGGTTGGCTGGTTTCTTTCTCTCCTTTTTTCTTTCGCTGTTGTTTTGTTAGAGTGTAGGTTGTTTTAAAGCACTAATTGCATTACATTGGTAACTGCAATATAAAATAGCCATTATTGTTTTGTGAAGCATGGTTGAAATTAGATAGTGGTCCCTTTTAAAATTCATGAGCCTCTCGAAAAAAAAAACTTAAAAAAAGACAAAAGCTGCTGAATATTTCAAAAGATATATATTTTACCTTATTGTAGGTTTGTAAAGTTAGTTTGTAATATTCAGGTGCACTTTTAATGTTAAACTTTGTGTTCAGAGTTCCATTATACTACATATTTCTTGGAGGTGGCTGCCAGTCTTCATACCACAGTGGTCCCTTAATATTTGGTTTCTCTCTTGATTTGCCACTATGTTGTATGGCACTTTCAGTGTAGATATTCTAATTTGGAGACGTCCTCATACATGTGTGGTGGAGATTGGTCTACTTGCATGCTTAATTTCTGCTAATCAGAGTTTTGAATGGCCCAAACAACAGTTGACCATTTTTATGGTATGGGAAAGTATAGTTCACATCTGCCTGTCACAAAAGCCTTTTTTTCTCATATTTCCAGTAAGGCAAATGATGACATTATTCAAATTACATTACATTATTTGAGCTAATGATAGGAAATAATATATTTAAAATAAATTCTTGCTTTTTAGTGAGAGAACATTACTATCACATACTAGATAAGCTACAATACTGTGACATCAGAACCATTAAACAGTTGTAGGAGAAAGAGAGTTGGGGGATGGTATTTTATCATTAGAATTCTTATTTCTGAGAGAGCAAAATCAGGCATGACCCAGTAGAGTATATTATCTTACTTTGTTCAGCAGTCTTTCAAGTGGCTAAATTATTTGATGAGCTATACACTTTTATTCTGCTCCCCAAATACCATGAAGGACAAGGTCTCTCATTCAGGAAAAAATATTTATATTTGTGTATAATACTTTTAAATATGTTTGTTGTTATTCTGAAGTTTAGATGTTGCTTGATAAACCTTTGCTGCAGCAGATCATGAATATGAGCAAGGCTTTGTGTAATAGTAGGGTCATTATGTGAAGTTAATTACTGTTCAGTTCTGGTGAGCAAGCTCAGAGGTGTGAAGTGTGTATTAGCTTTATTTGGTACAGTTTTACTTTACAACATTTGAAGTGCTTTAGAACTCTGGTTATCTTATAAATCATTACCTCAACCAATTGGCGTTTCTATCCCCTATGTTTTACCTTAGCTGTAATATGAGCTGTATGGGATCAGATAGCAAAACATTAAGTGGCACAATTAGGTCTTTAGTTCCCAATTTTCTGGAGAGAACTCTAACTCAGACTAGAAATGACTACTGCTGTGGCCCGTATCCTAACTACCTGCTGTCATTAGGCAGTACATGGCAACCTTTGAGCTGCTGGTGTGTTCTATGCCTACCCCAAGCACATGTTGCCAGACCTGGTTCTAAGCTTTTGTGATCCTTTTACATTGTATTGCCCCATGATGATGAAACTTGGACTTATTTGGTTATTAAAACAGATTCTTAGTTCAGTGTCAGAACCTGAAATTCTTTAGAGCCATCAAATTGTGTTACTTTATTTGAAAGCTGTTGTAGCCTAGTAGCTTTCATTTTGAAACAAATGTTTGGTTCTGTAATTCTTTATTTAACCAAATGCTTGAGATTGTTTTCATGTCTCCATTTTTGTGTTTATTTGGGTTGCTTTAATTGGCGATAGAATATGACAATAGGTTGGATTGCCCCACTTAATATTTTATTAGCAGATTGAAAATTACAGGAAAACGTCACACATGGGTTTTTTTTGTTTCCTTTCCATTAGAATTCAATTTTTGTTAATATTCTGGTCAATCCAGTATTATTCAAAGCTTGATGGCTTTAGCCAAGTAGTCCATTTAGGAGACTATTGAACTACAGGTCTTTGAGATTTGGTGGTGTTTGGGGCGGGGGGTGTTTTTTGGTTTGTTTTTTAAAATCTAACTGCTTTAAATATATATAATATATCTAATTGTGGTACAAGGAACACAGACCTCCATACTCTTTATTTTGGACTAATACTGTCTTTGAGACTAGAAGATTGGTGAACATGGTGGCAAGGGAAAATAGAGAAATTTCTTTCCATAGCCTCTTTATTCCAACTTCTGCATTTGCCTTTTAAAGAAGCAAGCATTAGCCCTATGCTGTAACACAAGCTGAGTGCCGGAAATGTTATAAAGGGAGCTTGGAGCAAGGGCTGGAACACAAGGTGGACAGGTGTAAACTTTAAGAGAAGAGGATAAAAATCAGCTGCCCCTGCTGTCTTAGATAAACTAAGAGCGAGTCTCAAGACACTGTATATAAAATTGGATAATGTGCATTTGATAGGAAAATTTTTTACTTTGTTTGAAAATGAGAATTGAATCTAGTGTTTGTTTGGCAGACAGTAAACATGAGTTAATTTTACAACTATTTGGGAGGTAATTTTAAGATTTCCAGTTCATTTAGAGCTATATTCATAAAAGAACATGAAAAGCAAGCACTTTTAGTAAACCACAGATTTATTGGATGTAGCAAATATTCATAATATTTAACTTTTATTGTTTGAATGTGAAAATGAACTCTTTATTCCTTGAACTGTCATTGAACAGGCTCGAGATGTTCTCAACACTGGAAATGACCCTACACACATACCAAATAACCTAAAGCAGTGAGACATTTGAAGATTCATACCTCTTAAACTTCTTAGATTTGTCTTGAAAAACATTTTGTGAACCTATAACCAGTATTAGTGCAGTCTTGGGTTCCTTGTTCTGCATAATTGCACCCTTTCTCAGGTATGTCCTGAAAACATAAATTTTTAAATCTCTTTGGAGATTACCATCTCAGTGGATAGTGTGTAAGGGGTGGGGGTGGGGGTTGGGAATAGTTGGACACAGGATACTGACACAGTAGAGCAGGGATTTTTAAAATTCAGTAGCCAAATAGAATTTCAGTCTAGAATATTTTTGCCCCCACAGAATGAACAAAATGATTCCTATTTGGTAAATTACCAGTGCTACACTCCTGAAAGTCTTTCATCCGGGTGACTTTTTCCTGCTTGGTGGTTGGGTATATAGTGAACCTCACTGTCATTAGGAAAGCACTTCCCCAAATGTTTGAAGTTCTAGAGAAGGGATAAGTCAGCACTTTTCTGTTGAAACACTAAAGTCTTAATTTATCTTCAGAGTCTTAGGTACTGTAAGTTTTAGGATGATTATTTTAAAAACCATAACTACATGATATGGGGTCAAATCACAATTATATAAGTAATCCTTATTTTAACAAATGACAATAACATTTTGTACCTTTCTAGTAATTCTAAGTAATTGCCTCATTTTCCCCATTTCATTTAAGCAATTCAGGCATAGGAATTTGAGAGAAAGGGGGAAATTCCCCAAATGAAACATGTTACCAGACCGTTTTAGAAGTATAAACCACTAAGGAAATGGGTAGAGATTCTCTCCCTTTTAAGTCTTCAGGGATTGAGCAGTATTTAGAATCTTTGGCTGAAATTCAAGCCTTTTTACTGTGTAAATTTTTAATACTAATTCACTCACATGCTTTTTACATCAGAGGACTGATATGGATCTTAATGGTTTTTAAGTTGTGGAAGGGTATATTTCTAAAACCAAGGGGGGGTTGATTAACTAGGTTAGTATTACCAGCATTAGTGAGTTTAAGGAATCTTAGTATGTAATAGCGAAGTGTTTGATTAAAAGTCTAATCCTATATTGCTAGTCAAAATTAGTTACATTCTGATCTAGGAAAGATATAGTCCTTGGATATTGATATGCTGTGCTGTCAAAAAAAAAAAAAAACAGACCAGAAGAAACCTTTGTCCGACCCCCACGTGTGCTTGTTGTGATGGGATGTGCACTTAACAGTGGCTTGTTGCTGCTTTGGGGGAAATGCATAAACTATACATTGGAGCATTTGCGTATAATTCTTTATGACCTCCACTTTAAGCTGTCAGACATTGGTATTTTATCAGTCCACACTGTTAAATAAAGCTAATGTTCTTAGAAAACCAACTTGTACACACTGTTTTAAAACCCTCAGGGACAGTTTTCACACTTTTCTCACTCAATTCAGGTACTTTGATGCTATTCGTAAACCTAACAGTGACTTGTATTTTTCTGTTTTGCTTTTATTTCAACGTGCTGGTAGCACATCTTTGATGAATGTCAACTTAAAAACTCAGTTCAGGTATCCAGGTATAACTCAGCCAAACAGATTTTAAAGCTGCGTAACTTTCCAGCACACGGTGCCTCACACTCTTATAGTGGCATTCTATAGATTCAGTTATAACTACTGAGCAGATATATGGGGGTTCCTGTTAATGGTGTATTTTTTTAAACATGCATACATGTATAGCCACACACACACTTAAACTATATATTTTTAAATGCCACTAATAACCAGCACAATGAAAACAAATGACATTCCTAGCTGCTTCTCTAAACTCTAACAGATGCAGTTTCTCCTTGATGTGGCTCTTGTTTCTTCATCATAACTACTACTAAATTCAAGCACTGGTCCTCGGGTGTCTGACCTCTACATTCTATTTATGCAATGTCTTCAGAGAATCTGTGCACTGGCCACTGTGATGGAACCATTGGGCCATAAGTGCTTTGAGTTTATCAGTAGTGATCCTGCCAAAGTTGGTATTTTATCATTAAGTATGTAAAATGTCAAAAAAAAAAAAAAAAGCAGAGGTCTAGGTCTGCATGCAGCAGAAAGTTTTTATCTCAGTGTATTTTACAGCCTCAAAGACCTCAGTGACAAGTTCCTTCTAGTGGTGACTTGTCTTTTAAACACTTGTTTTCCATAGTGCTGCCTGTGCTTAGCAAATAAGACAGCCCTCTGCTTTAGTATTTGATATCTTACATCCGAAAGAAACTCTATAAAGCCCCATAGCCTTTGAAGACATGGAAAATGGCATTTTTTTCCAGATTTCTAGAAGTTCAGTGTCATGCAACAAAACAGGAACCCCCATTACTCTATGGACCTCATTTCAATATACTGTTTACAGTTTGACGGAATTGTATAATTTAATATTTCTCTTGTACTGTAGTTTATATTTATTTACAGATTTTTGTACTGTGTGATTTGAACTTTTTGTTCTTGCTGTAATCATTTGTTTATGTAGTAGAGCACTTATGATCACAAAATAAGTTTTTGGGTTTGATTGCACTACATTAAATTTTTTAATGCAGTTCTGATTTTGACTGGACTAAAATAAGCTGTGTCTTAATGTATGTGATGAGTACTTAAATTTTAATCCATGTGGTTCCCCTTTTGTTTATTTTTTTTCCTACATTGTATGTCAGAAGCACTAGTTCTTTCGTGCATGTGTAAGACTTAATGGTTCCACTGTATTATTTGACCATGACATTTTGGAGAAACATTCCCAGCTGTAATGTTGTGTATGGTAGTTCTCACTGGATGCTAGACTTTAAAAACCACTATTCTTCTAATAAATTTTGTTGTGAAAACCCGTTTTTAAAGCTTGATTTCTGGTGCTTAAGATTTTAATGCGTTTTAACAGTTTACAAAAGGGTAAAACAAGTACTACGGCGTTAACATGTCAATCAGTCATCCTTTGACTCTTTCCTTACGAAACCTTTTAGATTATTAGAAATGGCACTACAGAATTACAGTTGGGTATTCTAATGCAGACACTACCTTGTCCCTCATTTGCTTACTGACTTGATACTATCCCTGGACTGCAGTCACTTTATTGTTTACCTAAAAACTAATGTTTTAAGCTAACCAAGATAGGTTGGGTTCCATAGTACCAGCTTCTGCTTAAAAGTCAAGTTTTCGCTGGGCAGTGGTGGCACACTCTTTTAATCCCAACATTTGGGAGGCAGAGGCAGGTGGATCTCTGGGAGTTCTACCCCAGCCTGGTCTACAGAATGAGTTCAGAATAACCAGGGCTACATAGAGAAGCCCTGTCTCAAAAAACAAACCAAAAAAAGGTCAGGTTTTCATAATTAGAATAAAAATTTCTTAACTAGGATTGGTTGCCAAAACAGAAAGACTTGGTAACTCATTGCCTCTTGAGGCACAAATAGTAAAGTATCATTGTCAACCATTGTTGTTGTTATCATTGTTACAGTACTTGTGGTTGTTGGGAAAAAGCTGAGTAATCCATGGTGTTTGGAAACTTGGGGTGTAAAGAAGTATATTATAAAGTTTCTATTGTAAAGGGATTAGAAGAACTAATTATAGATCCTAAAGATTGCAAAATATTTTAGCTTTTTTTTTCAACCTCATAATGTAAATATAAGCAGAAATTGCGTGTTCATAGATGGATCTTATGGTGCATAATTGATCTGTTAATGGCTTTATTGTCTGAGACAGACTGGCTATATAGTTATGTCTGTCTTTTTAGTCTGTTTTTTGTTAAAATAAGTCTTTTGGTTGGAAATACCGATCTTTGTTGGCTTTATCTTCTTGTTCATTTATGGCGTTTGTAGAATATTTTTCTGGAAACCTAATTAATGGGTAAATTTCTTGTCATTTCTTCCACTATCCACTTTAAACTGGTGGCTAGATCAGTGTAAGAAGACTTCATTCAAACAGCTCATGGGAACGTTTTCTATAGTGACCTGGCCTCAAGTTTGTATTTGGCTTTTGAACTACTGTGGCCCAGCTTTTTAAAAGTGACATATTTTAAACAAGAATTTCTCTGATTATACTTATATTTGAGGGTTAGTACAGGCACCCTGGTGTCTTAACAGGTGTGGGGAATTAATTCCCAAATATGTAACGGAAAGGGAGTACTATTTACAAAACAATAGTGCCAAAAAGCTTTGCTTTTTGGTTGGCCTTTACCAGATCCCTTGGTTCGGGTGAGTCACTGGTGGAAAAATGACTGAGCAATTACACTGTAAAATGTTGCAGCTTGTAGCATTCCCATTTTTTCATTTAATGAAGTGAATTTTTCTCTGAGTAACACATAGCTGATCCTAATTTTTTTTTGACGATGACTGAAATAAAAGTCTTAGTTCCTAAAATTATCAAGTTAATAAAAAGGTTTCATGAGGAATTTCTACTAACAAAATCTTTGACTGAGTTAATGATGTAATTGTCTCTTCTGCAGAGGAATGTTGGAGTCTGGAATGATTGATAGCACTAATTTGAGAATATATACCTAGCTGGGAAATATTTTAGATACTCTTCAGGTGGGTTTGTACCATTCCAGGACATTTCTGATCCGTTAAAGGGCAGGGATGTAACACAAATCTTACATAATCAGCATGACAAGATGTTGTTAAGCTTGTCTAAAGTTGTTTGAGTTACTAAAAGAAAGGAGTGTTAGTTTAAAATGTTAGTTTTATCTATTAGTCTTTGGTTAATAGACTGTATTTTGATGAAGCATTGTTAGAGTTTACCTGGTTAGTGGTATGCGTAGGACCAAGGCTGTAGTTGGAAGTAGACCTGGTAAATCAAATTAGTGATCAAGGCAATAATAAACCATTTTGGCTATGTGAGGACAATACCAATTATCTCAAAACATACATAGTGAGGTTTTCATAGCAGAACAATTGTCAGAAATACAAATGGAGATTGTGGGCAGAATCTATACAGTTAGTAATGGAACATTTTTTTAAAGACAGGTCAGTCAAAAAGATGACGTGGGGTGTAGGATTCTTTCATGATTACTTCTTGCTGATAATGGGCAAAGTTTTAGATCTTGGAGATTGGGGAAAGCAGGTAGCTTTGGAGAAGTCTGTTTCTGGAGAATGCAACTCTGGCCTTCTGGGGTGAGAGCTGAAGGTCAATGGCCCTGGCCAGAGAAAGAGCAGTCTGTAACACTATAAATCTGGTGGAATAAGTAGTGTTAATGAAAGAACATGAAGATAAGACAT